ATACCAACGATAGATGAAAGCACCATCATATGTATTAAACCAGACCAATTTCTTTGTATACATGTTTGTGTTGCTTGTTGTTTTAAGCAATGAAGTCTTTTATGTCCATCCATTACGTCGACCAACAGAGACATCACGAAGCGATGTTGTGCTGTAGTTTGTAGTTGCGTCTGTAAACCTTTGTTGGTAAAGTTACATGTTTCATGTTAAAATCGTACAAAATCCTGAGATTAATTAATTTATATATATAACATGTAATATTAATTTTCTTTGCATAATTTAAATTTTCTAATATTCCTTTCACCAGGAAACCAAAACATAGAGCTACATATTTAAATTCGCTTAAAGAATTAAGCAGCAAGGCACTTTTTAGCCAGAAACAAAGGTTCAACGAGAAATGTTGACCAGATCTTCATATAGATCTAACCGAAGGAATTATCGCTTTTCGCGGGAATCTATTTTAGAGCACTTAGCTTCATTAAAGTAATAAATTCTTGAAACCATTTCAAATCTAATAAATATCGATTTTCGAAATTTGAAATTTGAATTTTTTTTTTTACTGTTCGCGCCCGGAGTCACGAGTCCAAATTTCTAGTGCAAACGTAGATTTAAACGTCCATCAAATCTTTGCCAACTGACTGAAATGTCAAAGGCGAAGTCGGCCAGGGTAGAAACTGGACTTTTCGGTTCCCTGGAAATAGCCTTACGAGTTACGAAGTTACAAAATTACGAAGTTAAAAAATTACGAAGTTACAGACTAAGTCAGTATCTGTCATATTTCTGTCAACATATCGTGATTGGCCCGGGTCGCACTAGGTTTGGTAGAATTTGGTGTCTTAATCCGACTGAATCTGTCATCGCAAGACGATTTCTAGTGCGACCGTAAATTTGCCCGTCCACGAAAAATTTGCCAAGCGACCAAATTATCAAAGGAGCTGTCGAACATGTTCGAAGCTGGAACTTTTGGTCAAAGTTTCTCTAAACAATAGAAATCACAGCGAGAACTGTCATCGCTTGTYAGTATGGCTGTTAGAATAAAACCAGAGAGTGATTATTATGCCCCTAAAATGTGTTCTGAAAGGATACAATCCTACAAAAACTTTAAAAAAAGATTATTTTCTATCAATTACGAGTTGATTAGTGACTGCGGGCTGATACATTTCGATTCAAGACATTCAGATATCGCATCGTGTAAAACCAAATCAATTTGTTTAAAAGTTATAGAGTCAAAACTACAAGAAGGACAACAAATGAGCACAGTTTTAGGTACGCATTGATTACGCGCCCGTTACTACTTCTGTTGAACGTTGACATTCAAAAATCGGTATAGATCTCTAGTGCGACCCTGTTCAAAATACCAGACATTTGTTGTTTCCGGTGTCAGGGTAAAAACTTTGTGGGGACTTTGGCGTGCAAAGTTTTAAATTTGGCTTCACTTGTCATATATTTACAGAAAACCAGAAGCCTTTATATGTCTGATCAACTGGAGTGGAATTATTATTTCTGTCATTTAATATGAATATCTGCTTTTTCGGCATGTACTGTTGTCTTTGCTTACCTTGGATGATTTGCGTAGAAGTCGGCATTTAAGAATAACTCTGCAGCGGTCAGGAGACGAAGCACAGCATTTAAAATTTCTTCTCCACATAGTAGTAAAGAAACAGAATTAAAGAGACAGTTTCCGTTGCCAGTTGACTTGATTGGTGTGGAATCGGGGGGAATATCTCTTGGCATTATGCACCTAGATAATTCATCAATTTTCCACGTGCTGTCCCATGTGCTTGTCTGATCACTCTTCGGGAGATACTTTTCATATACCTCTACAAGGTAAAGAGCAACATCTCTATTTCCAGCTTCAATTGCTCGCTTCA